ATGATAAAATGGTAGACAATCGTACAATACTGGGAATCATGACCTAAGCCAAACTGATACACACATTTTTGGGGGGGACATAATTCAATCTATGACACAGACAGAGTGGGAGAAAAATGTAGAACAAAATTCAATTTCTCATTTTGACAGAGACCAGAGGAACCCCCAAGATGATGGCCCCCAGACACGCTGCTAACTCAGAACTGAAGCCACTCCTGAAATCCACCTTTCAGCCAAAGATTAGACAGACCTATAAAACAAACTATAACACATATGAGGAACGTGTTTCTTAGTTCAGTCAAGTATAGGAGACCAAAGGGACAACACCTGCCCAAAAGCAAAGAACAGAAGGCAGGAAAAGACAGGAAAACTGGAGGAATGGGAATGGGGAACCTGAGGTGGAAAAGGAAAAGGGGAGAGTGCTGAAGCATTGCGGGGATTGCAACCAATGTCACAAAACTATTTGCATATAAATTTTTGAATGAGAAACTAATTTGCGCTGTAACATTACACCTAAAGCACAATAAAATTAAAGAAGAACAAAATAAAACATATAGAAATGACAATGTTATAATTGGAAAAAGACAGTAAGAAATGTTACCAACACTTCATGCCAGTAAGTTTGAAGTCAGAAATAATGAAAAATTTCTTCAAAAGAAAAAAAAACTCCCAAAACTGACTGCAAATGTAGTAGAGAACTTGAATAGAGAAACTACTATTAAAGAAACTAAAGCAGCAGTTAAAAATCTCCCTGCAAAGAAAAGATTAGGGACAGTTTTACAAATGAGATCTACCATATTTTCAAAGAAGTAATGATTACAGATTTATACAAACTTCTGCAGATAACAGAATAAGAGAGAATACTCCCTAATTTGTTCTTGGAGACTTGATTCCCAAACCAGTTAAAGTAGACATTAGAATGGAAAACTTACAGGCCTATTTCACTCATGAATATTGATGCAAAAACCTAAATAAAATATTAGCAAACTGAATCCAATAGTAGATAAAACATAATATGCCATGACCAGGCTGCACTTACATATTAGAAAATTTATAAATGTCATTCAGAATAACAGAATAAAGAGGAAAAAACTCATAGATCATCCTAATATATGTAGAAAAAGGCATGCAATTAAAGAAGAAAACACCTTAGTAAACTAGGAAGATAATTTCATTAACCTGACAAAATTTGTGAAAAAACTTACAAGAAACATCATTCTAAGTGGGGAAACATTAGGAGCATTCTCCTATTACTATTACTATTGAACACTGTACTTGAGATCTTGTAATAAAAAAAGAAAAAGAAATTAAAGGTAAATAAATAGGAAAGAAAAAAATAAAACTCTTTGGTTGCAGATGATACAGTTGTTAGTATAAAAAATTTAAAACATCTAAATAGACATATTATATACAGCTAACATATTACATATAATAGGAGAGTTAGCAGCCAGGCTGGGTAGAAGATGAATATACCAACAACAAAAAGTTAGAAGACGTAGTTTAAAATATGACAGTCAAGATCCTAGCATAGAACAGAAATCACCCCAGATGCTTAAAATAAAGAGACTTTAATGAAAGGACTACTTACAAAGGTGTGGGTAGGATTAAAGAATCCAACAATGGATAGGACAGCATTCATACTAGCAACATTTGGAACCCAATAGCAAGTATGAGGCCAAAGGGAAGCAGGGAGGAAATTAAGAGCCCGATGAAGTCACCATAGAGGAAGGGCTGCCCTGTAAGAATATTATTCCTGGAGCGAATTCAGCTACTGTCAAAAACCCAGCACAGAAGCAGAGAGGGAACAGTTGGAGATGTGCTGGAGAGGCAAAGGGTCAGCAGAGGGGATCACAGATAAATGCAGAAAGAGAAAGTCCGGGACAGCTTGAGTCCTTCCCATGAGGAGTTCTGCGGCACCAAACCAAGATTGACAGAGCTTCAGGCAAGGACCCCAAGTGAACAAAGCAATCCTTTCACTCTGCCCTCTGGATGGGGTCCCCTCAAAACTCTCAAGTGGAAGGGTGTGGACTGTGTTTGTGAACATCCTAGCTCTAACTTCTGCTCCCACCCTTCACTCCAGCCCTCCCCTCCCCACCACCCACCCACTAGTATCCTCTTCCCTTGCTCTTCAGGACTGTTTTGCTCTGAAGAAGTACCTCTGGGGAAGATCAAAGGAGTTAGCCTGACAGATGTCAAGGTGTTAGTAAGCACTGCATCACTAGAATTCAAAGCACTGCAGCTGCCATTCTTAGTGCACTGTGGGAGGAGGGATAGTGTAATCTTTTCCCCCATTAGCCCACACCCTCAGCTGGGTGGCAGGAAGTAAGTCTTCAGAAGCAAGTTACTGTGCTGCGTCCATGTCCTACCCAGCATCTAGCGGCAATCTGTCCCTGCCCTGCCCATGCTATCAGTTGGACAGACAATCATGGAATATCACAACAGAAAAGGCCCTTAAGTGGCTGTTCCACAGATGAGGAAACTGAGGCCCAAGGTGGAGAAGAAACTGGCATAAGTTCACGGGGCCAGGGAGTGGTAGACCAGAAACAGGGCTCCCATTCTTCCCGCCAAGCAAATCCATGGCTTCCATGGAGGCTCTGAGTCCTCACAGCTGTGCTCAGTCATCCTGCGCCTCTCTGGCCAGTGAGGGATCCTCACCCTCTCTGCTCTCCCACAAGCAAGCCCTGTCACAGAGCTCAGAGACTTAAGAAGGAACTCGTGCCAGAGGGTGGCAGGGAGAGGAACTGGCCTGAATGAGGGGGCTGGGCCTAGCTGCCAGCTGGGCTCACCAGGTTCAGAACTTCCTAAAACCCAGCCTGCCTTTCAGCTCTGAGGAAGCTCTGAGGAGCCACTTGGAACAGGGGGATCAGCTCCCCTGGGTGACCCATGTAGCACAGAAATGAAGGCAAGATCACAGGTCAGGCGACCATTGGGGGCTGGAAGGAGCTGGCCACGGGAAAGGTGAGAGAAGAAGGCTGTCAGGGGGCCCTGAGCCCCTCTCTGGGGCTCCCACTGTGCCTGAGCTCCCCTGGCTCAGCCCTTATCAGATGGCTGCTTGATCCTGCTCCTGCAGCTACCTCCTCCAATCGGTCATGGGTCCTGCATGGCAGGGGCTACAGCTCATTCATCTGTGTATCCCCAGCATAGCGCCAGGCACATGGAAAGCACTCAAAAAAATGAATGAAAGAGGCAGAAAGCCAAGTATTGGGAGAACCCACTCGGAGCAGCGAGGGTGGGGAGGGCAGCAATCAAGAACAGGGAACTTTATTTTCCTCTGATTTTATTATCTGTGAGCAAAGGTCTCTGCCTGACCTGGGCTCAGAAGAAGCACCTGGAGGAAGGATCTGTGGAGCTACCCCTTACAGAGCACTTGCCATATGCTGGGCATTTTATTCTCATTCCATCCTCCTGTTGACCCTATTAGGTAGGTACTATTATTGTCCCGAGGCTTAGAATAGAATTTAAAAATTGCCAAAGGTACACTGCTAATAAGAGGTACAGCCCAAGATTCAAATGCAGGTATGTCCTACTGTAGAACCAAACTTTGTGCTTTAAGTGAAAGTTTACAATTCAAGTTAGTCTCTCATACAACAATTTATACATACATTGTTATGTGACCCTACTTGCTCTCCCTATACTGTGACAGCACACTCCTCCTTTCCACCCTGGATTTCCTGTGTCCATTCAACCAGCTCCTGACCCTCTCTGCCTTCTCATCTCGCCTCTGGACAGGAGCTGCCCATTTAGTCTCATGTATCTACTTGAGCTAAGACGCACACTCTTCACGAGTATTATTTTATGTCCCATAGTCCAGTCTAATCTTTGTCTGAAGAATTGTTAGTTTTGGGCTAACAGAGAGTCCGGGTGCCGTGTCTTCCGGGGTCCCTCAGTCTCAGCTAAACCACTAAGTCTGGTCTTTTTGCTAGAATTTGAGTTCTGCACCCCACTTTTCTCCTGCTCCGTCAGGGACTCTCTGTTGATCCAGAACCAAATTTGAACGACTGTTCATTCATTCAACAAATTCCAGCAAGCACCAACTATGTGTCAGGCATCGTTCTAAGTGCTGGAAACATAGCTGTGACAAAACCCACAGCACCTCTCCCCGAGAGCTTCCATGTTAGTTATTGGAGGAGACAGACAATAAAAAAGTAAACACATAACTAAGTAACATCAAGTTTGAATGAGATAAACCCTATGAACTAAAACAAGGCAGGATGAGAGGATAGAGCAGGGGTCAGTACACCTTTTCTGCAAAAGGCCAGAGAGTAAACATTTTCTGCTTTGCTGGCCATAGGGTCTCTGTTGCAATTACTCAATTCCGCCGTTGTAGCACAAAAGAGGCCATAGACAATCTGTAAACAAATGGGCGTTGCTGTGTTCCAATAAAACTTCATTTATGGACACTGAAATTAGAATTTCATGTAATTTTTACACGCCACAAAATGTTATTCTTCTTTTGACTTTTTTCAGCTATTTAAAAACATAAAAACCATTGTTAGCTGGCGGGCTACACATCCCTCTCCTGTGGAGCCGCTGATAGTTTCCAACCAACCTTTGGTTAGCAGTTGATCACTTTAACCACTGTGCCACCAGGGCTCCTAGATAAGGAGCTGTAAACAGTGAGTTGTAAACGAACGTTGGCTTCAGTTATCAATACTGTTCTGACCTGCTCTGACTTACATTTTTAATGAGATCATTCTGGCTGCTGCATGGAGAAAAAGCTCTAGAGAGGTAAGGGGGGAGCAGAGAGACCAGCTGGGAGGCAATTCCGGGTATCCCGGGGCAGACGATGGTGCATGGCAACAGCAGAGGTGATTGAGGGCACTACTGGGACTGCCAAGAGGTTTTGCAGATGGCAGCTGCAGTCCTCCAGACAACCCTCAGTGAAGGTTCTGACAAGCCTCCAATGACCAGCAAGCTCTGGATTCATCCCTAACACCATCACACCCAGCTGTATGAAACAGGAGTGGGGAGAAGAGGTGACAACTTTGGTCAAAACTCACCCACGATGTCCACAACGTCAGGCCGGATGAGCGGCTCCCCACCTGTGAGCCGGATCTTGTCCACGCCTTCTTTCACGAAGAGCCGTGCAAGAGCCAGGACCTCTTCGGTGGTCAGTAGGTCAGCCTTAGGGGTCAGTGGGACCCCCTCCTCAGGCATGCAGTATTGACCTGAGAGCATAGGAGGGGTCGTGGAGGTGGGAAATGGGCACAGCAGTCAGGTCTGCGATGTCCCTATTCCCAACTCCCCTGAGCCCCATACAGACAAAGAGAAGAGACCTCCCCAAATCTGGGGGTCAAAGCAGGGTGGTGCTTAGCCCTAGGCCAGATTCCTTCTGGGGCTCATTTTTCTCATCTGCCCTGGTGGCACAGCAGTTAAGAGCTATGGCTGCTAACCAAAAGGTGAGCTGTTCAAATCCACCAGCCGCTCCTTAGAAACCCTATGGGGCAGTTCTACTTTGTCCTATCCTATAAGGTTGCTATGAGATGGAATCAACTCGACGGCCATGGTTTTTTTTTTGGTCTCCCATTTGGCCTTAATATCCCTTAGTGGGGGAGCTGAGGATATAGGTTAGAGAAGATAAACTAGGCTATGGGCCCAGCTTGGCCTGAGGTAGGGGGACGCCAAGATGCTGAGTCCCTCAGCATCATTCATTCTTCTTCATTCATCTGGTTCTGGCATACAAATATTACCACACACTATGTGAGCTATGCTGGGTAAAAGAGGCTGGGAAGTTCTCACTGACCTGGTAGTAAAAGCTGCTCTCCTCTACAGCTACCAGTGTGGTCATATCCATCCTACCTATTTCAGGCCATCATCGGTCCCATTTTACAGGTGGGAAAACTTAGGTACTACTTGTTCAGGGTGAGGGAACACAAAGGAGTAAATCAGGTGAGCTGGAGCAGGTGAAGGCTGCCAGCTACTATACCACTAGTTCTTGTAGTACAGTTTTATCAAGGATTAGGTCGAGATCGGCTTGACAGCCATGGAGTCAAATTAGTGAACTGGATCCAGAATTGAATTTTAAAGACAGAATAGAAAGAACAGAATAGGTAAGTATGTCAGAATGTACTACATGTAGTAAAGGTAAGTATTATTTGACTAAACATTTATCATGCACACACAAACACACATATACATACATTTATCGGGCTATGAGGTTAATTTCTTATTGTAAGCCACAGTGAAAAAAGAAAGAGAAAGGCAGACAGACAGACAGCAAGACAGGAAGGAAGATCAAAACTTTGGGAGTGCCCCCAGCAGTGCATACAGTCCCTAGAGCGCTCCTCTGAGATTATGAAATAGGTATTCTTCGTATCAGTCCTGGGCCAACTGCCATATGGAATTGGCATAGTGGGCAGGGTTGGCCACGGGCACTGTTGTGTATTTCACATGTTTATAGTACCCACCCCCCACATCCTGAACTTTGAAAACTGCAGGGAAACAGTACAGGAGAAGGGAGGAAAGAACCCTGAACAGAGAAAGAGCCAGGACCCAATCCTGATTCTAAACCCAACAGCAATTCTGCTTTCAAACCTAATCCCAAGTAGAACCCAAATTTCAGAATTGTGAAACTCAGCGTTGACCCCTATCTCAACCCTGAATCCTGCCTGGCCTGGCAGGCCAGGGTAGTGGGTGGAGAAGTTAGAACTAGGAATCAGAAGAACTGAGGAGGATTCCTGGGTATGGGGAGATTCCAGAAGCTGCTTCAGTAGAGGCTTAGTAGCCCCAAACATGTGACTACAGGAGCCCAGAGGGGGCTGAAGCAGGAGACTCACATCTGAGGTTGCACTTCTCTGTGAGGGAGATTCGCAGGTAGCTGTGCTGGCGGCCAAAGCTGTCGGTGAGGAAGGCGGAGAAGGGGGCAGCGTGCTCCCTCAGGAACTGCCTCCGCCTGGACAGCTCCTGAGGACAAGGCAGAGAGAACAGCATGGGCCCCTGTTTCCAGCCTGGGGGCAGGAGCAAGGATAACCCACCTGGGGTGAAGTGAGCCAACCCTAGGTCTACTGTCTGTCCCTCATCTCTGACATGCATACAGCATGGCCAACTTTTCCACACATTTGGACCCCACCATCCTGAGGGCCCAGCAATTAACCTTCTCATTCACAGATTGGGAAAGAGGCTTGAGCAGAAGCACCCACCCCCCATGGCCCCATAGGACAAGCAGTGTGCTACCAGCTGGGCAGCAAGGTGGGTGGCAGGGAGAGCAGGCAGGCAGGGTATTAAACCCAACCCAGGCCCATCTTCTTCCCTGCCGCCATCTTACTGCCTACCCCTCCCTCCAGGAAGCCTGTCCAGGAACAAACATTTCCAATCTTTCTTGGACAGGGTCACTGGCAGAGAATGTGCCACCTCAGCATCTGGCAACCATGCCAAGCTGAGGCAGAAACTTGGCACGGTTGCCAGAAGCTGGCAGGAACTTGGCCAGAAAAGAGAAGGGATGGAGTGGGTGACTGTGAGGGGAACTGAGGCTCAAGCTATACTGCTGCCTCTGCTTGGGAAATGGTGAGCCACTCTCCAACCTAGGCCTCCCCATATGCCTCCCCTTTATAATGGGGGAGAGAAGGCACTGAAGCCAAATCGCTAACTGTGGGAGTTTGGGGCTGTCAAACAAGCTGCCTCTCCTATAGCTACACCCCTGCTGGCTGGGCTCGCTGGGGCCTCCCCACTGCCCTGAGGAACCAATCAGGTCAAGCCATCATGAGCAGCTGGGGGCTGCGCTCATCTGGGGAGGATGGTGCCCATAGAGAGGGCTCCCCTCATTAAAAAGCCTTTTGGGACAAGGACCGCACAACCAGAGAGACCTGCAGGAGGAAGGAGGCAACAGCCTAGCCCCAAGGAAGGAAGGAGTGAAGGGCCAGAACGACCACCCCACACAAACACTGTTGTTGTTGTTTGCCGTTGAGCTGATTTCAATTCAAGGCAACCCCATGTGCGCACATTAGAATTGCTCCATAGGGTTTCAAGGTTTTGATCTTTTGGAAGCAGATGGCCTAGCCTGTCTTCCAAGGTGCCTCTGGGAGGGTTCAAATCGCCAACCTCTTGTCTAGCTTCGGCTAGTAGTCAGTTGCTTTTCAACCATTATTCTTCACCCTCCCCGTGCCAGAACGAAGGATAATGCACCCATTGTCTGGGGCCTAAAGAGGAGGCGATAGCTGGAGGTGCCAAGCAAGGCCCAAATTCGTCCCAAGGGGAGAAAGGAGGCAGCCAACCTCACCCTTTCCCACTTCTGATCTCTCTCTCCCTTGAGAGCACAACCTTGGGTCCTGACAGATGTTGATAAGATAATTGCTCCACGGAAGCAACATTTGCAAAACACCTTACAGTTTCCATCCAATGTTCTCTCCTTCAATTCCCACACCCACCCCATAAGGCAATTATTGTAACTAAGGCTTGGATGGGGTCCAAGAACACCGTAGGTAGAACAAAGATTCAAATCCAGGTCTTCTAGTTCTAAATTCCTTCCCCTAATTACACAAGGAAAGTCCAAGAAGATATGCAGAAAGATGATGGGGTAGGGAGAAATCACTTCTCTAGAATTCTTAGAACAAAGACATCATGACCCCAGTTGTACTCCATGAGTTCTACCTATGAACAGGACTCTGGATTAGGGGCAGGAACCCCTGGTTTCTGGGCCAAGTATAACGTGACATACCGGGAAAATTCCTTAACTTCTCTGGGCTTGTTTTCCAGTTATAAAATAAGAACACAGTATGGGCTAAGGAGGAGTCCCTAGGTGGGGCAAACGGTTAACACGTTCGGCATCTAACCAAAAGATTGAAGGTTTGAGTCTACTCAGATGTGCCTCAGAAGAAAGTCCTGGCAATCTACTTCTGAAAAATCAGTCACTGAAAACCCTAGAGCACAACTCTACACTGACACACTTGGGGTGGTCATGAGTCAGTCGACTTGACGGTGGCCTTTTTTTTTTTTTTAATGTCTTGCTACGAGTAAGGGAGTAGAGCAGGAAGGGAAGTTAATAGGTAACCTAAGACAGCAGAAGGCTTCAGGTTATCCTGAGGTCTGGGGTAACTACACCTACACTCCAGGAGGGAGTGAGCTCTTCAACCTTGGTTGATGTTAGAACCATCAGGGAGCTTAAGGAAAAAAAAAAAAAAAATTCCACTGGAGACCAATTGAGTTGGGAATCTCCGAGGCTGGAGCCCAGGCACGGGTGTGTTTTTTTTTTTCATCTTCCCGGTGATTCTAACGTGCACCAGGGTTGAGAGCCATTGATTCACTCAGAAGATAGAAGGGATACGAGAGAGGGTAGAGGAGTGGTGAGAAACAAAACCTGCTTCCATGATTTTCCTGGGTCCATAAAACTTACCTCCCTCTACCCACCCCAAGACCAGTTTCCCCAGATTGCCAAGAAACCCTGTTCACAGCTCCACAGCAAGCTGAGCAGCAGCCACTTCTCTAAACTGGAGCATGCTCTAATCCTAACAGCCACTTCCTCCCTACAGAGTCACTAATGAACACAAGCTCACCCCTCGGATTCAGGATGCAGCTGCACCCTCTTCTCCAGCAATAGCTCACTAATTTGTGAGTCAGCACAGACCCCACTTCCTCATTTACCAAGATGACCCCACCCCCGGGGGGTGGCTGGGTGAGGGAGGAACTCAAATCTAGGAATTTGGAGCCTGTGAGAAGACCAAGGAGTATGACTCAGCAGAAAGCAGAGAGCAAAGAGTGCGATCAGGAAATCGAGAATGGCATTAGGCAGGTTAGTTCTGGCTGTGGGAGGGGCCAGGCAGATTTCACTTTTGACACCTCAAGTGACTTCATCTAGGTTCATTCAGACCCTGTACCCCCGGAGCCCAGCCCAGCCTCCTACATGCCCACATCCTCACCCTGCTGGAGGGACATACAAACTCAATACCTAGAGATTAACAAGCTTCATCCCCACCGCCCTCTCACCCCTTCTCCTCTCCAACACTGGGTGTCCTATTTTCATTCTTCCAATTTTTTTTTCCTTTCTCTTAAATCCCCTATTGTTACAAGTTGATTTTAACTCACAGTGACCCCACGTGACGGAGTAGAAACCCCACAGGATTTTCTAGTCTGTAATCTTTACAGAAGCAGATCACCAGGTCTTTCTCCTGCAGAGCCACTGGGTGGAACTGAACTGCCAACCTTTCAGTTAGCAGCCGAGCACTTAACTGTTTGTGCCACCAGGGCTCCTTTTAAATCCCCTGGAAGAAAAAAATCTGAGTACCAGTCAAAGGAGCCCAGGATCTAGCAGGTGTTACCAGGCAGAATGGACAGCGACCTCCCTCACCCAGGAAGGGCTGGGTAGAGTGTGTCAGAAGCAGTAGGAGCTTAATACCTTTAGCTGTTCTCTGCCCATCTGTGTGGCAGGCCTTTCTGCCTGACTCGATATCCCCAGTGGCTAGCACACTGTGTTGGTATAAAGTGTTGAACCACTATGTCAAGTGAACAAATAGGTCTACCACCAATCCAAAGGTGTGTAAAGCCCAGTGGCATCGCGGAGATCGCTCATTTCCAGGCTGCTCTCCACTGTCAAAATTTAGTCTAGAACAGTGGCTCTCAACTCCAGCTGCACATTTAAATTACCTGAAGAATTTTAGAAGTATTGATGCGAGGGACCCACCTGAATTGCTCTGGGATAGGGCCCGGGCTCTGGTTTGTTGTTTTTTTTTTTTTAAGTGCCTCAGCTTTCTACTGGAGCCCTGGTGTCAGGGCTGAGAGGCATGCATCTAGTGGAATCAGCATCAGGCACTACAACTTGCAGTTGTAAGCACAGACTTTGGAGAAGCCTGACTCTGTTACTGACCAGCTGTATGAGCAAGTCGCCTAAACTCTCTATGCCTCAGTTTCCTCATCTATAAAATGGGGATAAGCATACCTAATTCAGTTGGAGGAGTAGATGACAGAATACAGTTCCTGTCACAAAGCAGGTATTTAATGAGCGATCATCACAATTTTCTTAATTCTTAGAAACACATATTCATTCATGAAACACATCTTCCTGGAGAAGCACTAGATGTCTGTGCTGTGACGTTTTCCTACTCTGTGTCAGCTTCCCCAGGCCTGAAAGACCCTGGCCTTCCAACCCTACTAAATGGCAGATGGCCCAAGGCCAAGAGCTTCAGATCTGCTATCACACTACCCAAAGGAGGACAACTGGGATCCAAGTGCCCCCAAGACCGTCAGTACTAGTAACCAGGCACTAGTTATTGGTTGCCACATCACTGGTTCTCTTTTGTCTGGAGTCCCTGAGTAGTGCAAACAATTAACACGCTTGGCTGCTAAAAAGGTTGGAGGTTCAAGTCCACCTGGTGGCACCTTGAAAGCAAGTCCTGGTGATCTACTTCTGAAAAAACAGCCATTGAAAACCCTTTGGGGCACAGTTTTACTCTGACACACATGGGGTCACCATGAGTCTGAGTTGCTTCGACTCAAGGGCAACTAGGGAAAAAAAAAAATCTCTTCTACCCAACCCAGTTTGAATAGGGTGGTACAAGGAAGTTAGTGAAGGGAGAGACCGTATCCTCAAAGGACCTTCCCATATTAGTCACTAACCTTGGGCATTTGATTTGATTGGAAAAGGCCAGCCCTCAAATAGCTCTAGAGTTGAGACAGAGCAGCAGAGTTAGCCAGGAGAAAAAGTGCACATTCCAAATTACCTGTTATTTGGGATTATGTATACCAGGGGCTTCTCATATAAAATTAATCTCTATTAAATGAGTGGACACAGCCAAGTACCTAGCTCCAGGCGTGGTTCTCCTCCCCTCTCTGAGACTCCAACCCTAAGTTATACTTATGTGGCTCCCAGCAAGGAGAATCATACTTCACTGAAACAAAGACTGGGAGGAGCTATGCAGACTAGAAGTCAAGATGCCCCTTGACAAATCTCCTTTCCCTCCATGTGTCACTCCCATGCCAGGCCCTGGCTGTCCTGCCTCCTATCACACTAGTTTTCTTCCTACATGCCCCTACTCCAGTGTCCATTCTTTCGGGCCTCTAAGATCCTGGGTGCCTTTGCCTTGCCCACAGCCACCTTCTCCCCTACCCCTGCAGGCCCAGGGCCTCAGACCAGCTCCAGAGCTCTTGCTGCCCCGACAAAGTCTGCATGGAACCTGAGATGAAGAAAGAGGGACACTATGCTCCCTGGCTGGGACAGATCCTCCAGATTGTTCGGGCCACCCCAATTGAGGCACCACGTGGCTGTGTCTCCCCTACTCACCTCCCCTTTCCACCTGTAAAAGCTTCTAACTTCTCCTTGGACTAGCCCAAGGCCCCCTTCCCACTGTCCCAACAGCCAGCTCCCACTCCACACCTCACCTCTTCATCACACACCCACATCCTGACACCCAAACAGATAACACCCAGTGGCTTTCCATTCTGCCTCTCTAGGCACTTCCCATCCCCAATAAGCCCACCAGAGCCCGGTGGAGGGCTTGGGGAGAGGGACCCTGCAGGGAGGAAAGGGGAGGACACCCTACCCCTGTGCCTGCAAACAGGCGAGGTCTGTGGCTCTGCTGAACATATGTATCTCAGGACTCATCTCACCTCTGAGGTTTCTATTCAAGACAGACCTCCTTCAGTGCATAAAGATGGGCTGATCCAGCCCTTAGGTTTTGTCGACATGAAAAGAGGGAAGTGAGCCCAGGAGCCAGATGATACTGGAAGCAGACTGAGAGTGAAAACCTGAGGCTCCCCGTCCAGTGCTGCCCACTACTCCACCTGCCCCCTCCCTCGCTCGGTTTCAAACAATGTAATATCTCTGCTGACTCCGCTGCTGTGTTAAGCGCTTTGGGGAAATACCTAGAAAGGCAGGGCAGCACCCAGCACTCAGGGAGTTCCCTATCTGCTGAGGACAGCCCTACCGGGGGGTCTGTGATCAAACAGTTAACAGAATGGCTGCCCTGACTGTCCAGGTGGGAGAAGACTCATCAGACACCACTTGTGCCAATGGTGGCAAAGATAATAATTGCAACGTTTATTAACACAGCACTTATTTTGTTCTAAGTACTTTACATATATTAACTCTTTTACCCCTGCAACTGAGTTGATTCTGACTCAAAGTGACCCCATAGGATAGAGTAGAACTGCCCCATAGGGTTTCCAAGGAGCAGTTAGTGGATTTGAACTGCAGACCTTTTGGTTAGCAGCCGAGCTCTTAACCACTGTGCCACCAGGGCTCCATCTTCTAAAGTAGGCACCGTTATTCCCATTTAACATATGGGAAAACTGAGGCACTGAGAGGTGAAGAGATTTACTCAAGTTCACACACCGAGTAAGTGTGAAGCTGGGATTCTGCTCCAGAGTCCATGTTCTTACCACTGTACTACAGCTCCTCTCACAGTCTAGATGAAAGGGTTGGGATAAAAAAACCAAACCAAATCCACTGCCATCAAGTTGATTCCAACTTATAGCAACCCTCAAGGATAGAGTAGAACTGCCCCATAGGGTTTCCAAGGAGTGCCTCATGGATTCGAACTGCCGACCTGTTGGTTAGCAGCTGTAGCTCTTAACCACCAGGCCACCAGGGTAGGATAGCCTCTCTTCCCACAGGGAGGAGACATGAGCACAGAGGTGGGAGTTTGAGTTCCTGCTCCCCCACTTTACAGCTCTGTGACTTGAGTGAAGTCACTTAACTTTGATGAGCCTCAATTTTCCCATTTGAAAATACAGACCTTGCTTACATCACAGGAGTCCCTGGGTGGCACAAAGGGTTAAGTGCTCGACTGCTAGCCAAAGAGTTGGCTGTTCGGACCTACCCAGAGGCACCTGGTAATCTGCTTTGGAAAGGTCACAACCTTGAAAACCTCAGAATCTAGTAACTGGCAACTAACTAATAAAACTCTGGGAGGGTTTTACTGTGAGGACTAAATGAGACCACCAATGAAGTCACTTAACAAAGGGATGCTCTCATGAAAGGTACAAAATAAACAGGGGAGGGGACTTCTTTTTTCTTGAATTCTTTAAAGACCTCTCAACAATATTGACTTCCCTTTTTCCCCTCAAAGAAGTTTAGAGTTCAAGGATATTAAAAAAAAAAAAAAAAGAAAAGAAAAAAAAACCTCCATTTCCCAGCAATGAGGGCTGCTTATCTGAGGCTCCCAGAGGGGCTTTGGTTTAGGAAAAAGCCCTTCTCCTCATTGAACAATAAAAGCCTAGACCTGGGAGATGAGAAGAAAAACAACTAGACAGGCCATGAAAAGAGGTTTCTCCAAATAAAAAAAGATACTCTCTTCAAAAGTATTCCTCTGACCACATGGGCAAAAGAACAACAAACTTAAAACTCTTGATGACATGCAACACTCTGAGGGGGCTTGTCAAGGGCTGCGGGAGCCTACCCGAAACCCTAAAAGAGAGATCCCCAAATCCCGAACTTGGAAGTGCCCAGGTCCTGCTCTGTTCTAGAATGAAGCTGAACCCTCCCAAGGGAAATGAAGATGAAACAGATAGTCAGTGAAGGGCGGGTCACAGAGCCCTGTGACTACAGAGCTGACTACCGACAGCTGGTGACAGCGGGGTGACACTTTTAGTCAGTGTCACACTGTGCAGCAGTGTGACAGAGATACCTGAGCACACACAGAAAATCTCCACTCAGGGGACTGGGAGGAAAGGGTTTAAGGAAGAGGTTGAGTGTGGGGTGGGGCTGAGTGGGATACTAGTAAGACAACTCATTGGACCAAAGTCTTAGTCCTATTCCCCAGTTTCTGGCAGACACTCACACCTGGAAGGGGGGTGCATGGCTGGGTGGGCAGGGAGCCCCTTTTGCTGGGGTAGCTAGCAGGGGAGACTCAGCAGTTTCAAGAGAACATCATTCTATCCCCACGACACTCTCCCATTAAGAACCGAGGGGTCCCTCCCAAAGACAGTGGCCAAGGACGAGCCGAGGTGCTTCTAGGAGTAAGGGGCAGCTTGCTCAGCGGCCACCTCCCAGGTAGATGTGGATGCCAGCGGGGCGGACTCACCGTAGGGGCAGGTTGGGTGGACTTCCCGGGACGGGGCTGCGTCACCGGAGCCTCGGAGCTGCAGCTCCAGGTGCTGGTCCTCAGGACTCTCCGCAGCATGCGGGACACAGGCCGCGCCGACATTTAGCCTTTTGGCTGGGGGTGAGTCTCCCCGGGGCAGCCACCTTCTGGGTCACTCTTGCCTGAACTCGCCGCCCTGGGTCATCCAGGCATTGGTGGCGTAGGGGCGGGGCCTGCGCGGCCAATCGGTGGGGGCGCCGCGCGGTTTTCTGGGAAATGTAGTCCACTCCGTCCGGCCGAACCCCGCTCCGCCCCCCTCCCCCGTTTTTCCTTCCTGGGCCGGCTTAAGGACACAGTCTTCAGGTCTTTGTTGTCTTTGTTAGTTGCTTTCGAGTTCATTCCGACTCACGGCGATCTCATGTGGCAGAGTAGAATTGCCGCGGGATTTTCTTGACTGTAAATTTATTTATTTTAGTTTATTTTTGATGAAAATCTACACACCAAAACCCGCTCCCATTTCGCAGTTTCCCATAGGGTCGCTATAAGCCCTAATCAACTGACAGCAGTGGGTACACATAATGATTAGTAACATTGGTTACATTCTTCACGTTGTGTCAACATTCTCTTTATTAATGTTCTAGTTGTTTTGCTTCAATTTGCTTAATCTCCCTGTCCCCCAACCTTCTTGTCTATGCTTTAAAATAGTTGCTGACCGTTAGGTCTTATACAGATTATTATTATTATTATTTTTTAAAGAAACACAATACTCCAGGGTGACAAGCTTTACTCTTCGGGCTAAACTGTTACTTAGTTTAAAGTTGACTTCAGGGGATAGTTTCAATTCAAAGTTTGAAGAGCAACTCAGAGCCATAGTCTCAGAGACTCAATAGGTCCAGTAAGTCTGAATTCTTTAAGAATTTGAAGTTCTGTTCCACATTTTTTTCTCCCTTTTTATCAAGATTCATCTATTGTGTTCCTGATGAGAAAGTTCAGTAGTGATAGCAGAGCACCACCTGGTCTCCGGATGGAGGAGGCAATGATTCCGGTAGACGATTAATCCTGTAGTCTCGTTCCTTCTCTGGTTGTTGGGTTTCCTTCTTTCTCTTTTGTACCAGATGAATAAAGACCAGTAGTTGTATCTTAGATGGCTTCTTATAAGCTTTTAAAGACCCCAGACTCTACTCACCATACTAGGAGGTAGAACATAAACTTTAAGAACTATGTTATGTCTTGGCTGTAAACTTTACCAAAGCAGATCACCAGGTCTTTCTTCTGCAGAGCTGCTGGGTGGGTTTAAACCACCAACCTTTCAGTTAGCAGCGGAGCATAGAGCTTGGGAAGCAAAAGTTTAAACTCAGGTGGAGAACCTGGGTCTTTTCCTCCAGGCTTCTCTGTCCTTGTCTGACAAGGAGATGACGATGAAACTGGCACAAAGTGCTGTAGGCAGGGCAGGACTAGAGCTAGGAGAATGAGGCACTTGGCTTGAGCACAAAATTTAAGGAGGCACCAAAAAAAGACTTGGTTATCAAGATAAATAATATATTACTGCAACATTTTTTAAAATCAAAATTAATGCAAAGAAGTCCATGATAAACGAACTATCAACATTTTAAATGAAAACAGAATCCAAACTTGCACTTGCACATCTTTGTCTCACTCATTTCATCCTAATCCAGGCCTTATTGTAGGACTGTCACCTTCCTCTTTCAAGATAAACATCTCCACTTGTGCCCCAAAAGAACATTAGTAATCGTGGTCTCTCCACTTATCATGATGCTGTTTATTGGTCCAGTTGTGAGGATTTTAGTTTTCTTTATGTTCAGGTGTAATATGTATTGAAGGCTTTATGCCCTGGTGGCACAATGGCTAACTGAAAGGTCGGTGATTTGAACCCACCAGTGGCTCCTT